CTCCCCAAACCCCCAAACCCCCAACTCCCCAAACCCCCAACTCCCCCACGCCCGCAACTCCCCCAAACCCCCAACTCCCCCACGCCCGCAACTCCCCCAAACCCCCAACTCCCCCAAACCCCCAACTCCCCAAACCCCCAACTCCCCAAACCCCCAACTCCCCCAAACCCCCAACTCCCCCACACCCCCAACTCCCCCAAACCCCCAAACCCCCAAACCCCAACTCCCCCAAACCCCCAACTCCCCCAAGCCTGCAACTCCCCTAAACAGAGAGCAAAAGAGTAGAAACCCCCAGAGGACGCCACCTCACTGCAGTCCACCGCCAGGAATCAGAGAGGGCTGGGCAGTGACCAGAGCCCGAGCCCAGTGCTGATCGAGTCATGGCCCAGACAATGTTACAGGAGAGCCACCGAGTCAGAGGTGGGAGAGGGCAGCTCTGCTCTCCCCTCCCCTCCCCTCCCCTCTCCTCTGCTCTGCTCTCCTCTGTTCTCCTCTCTTCTGGTCTCCTCCTCTCCTCCCCTCCTCTCCCCTCCTCTCCTCCCCTCCTCTCCCCTCCCCTCCCCTCCCCTCTCCCCTGCTCTCCCCTCCGCTTCCCTCCCCTCCCCTCCCCTCCCCTGCTCTCCCCTCCGCTTCCCTCCCCTCTGCTCTGCTCTGTTCTCCTCTCTTCTGGTCGTCTCCTCCTCTCCTCTCCTCTCCTCTCCTCTCCTCTCCTCTCCTCTCCCCTCTCCTCTCCTCTCCTCCCCTCCCCTCCCCTCCCCTCCCCTCCCCTCCCCTCCCCTCCCCTCCCCTCCCCCCTCTCCTCCCCTGCTCTCCCCTCCGCTTCCCTCCCCTCCCCTCCCCTCCCCTCCCCTCTGCTCTCCTCTCCTCCCTTCTGGTCTCCTCCTCTCCTCTCCAAGGCTTGTTGTCTCCTGAGGCAGCAGTGTTGAAGCAAAACAAGCGAATGTGGAGGAAGCACAGAAGCCTTGACTGCATGCACTCGGTGTAAAGCACAGGCAGCAGGCTGCGCAGCGAGCCGGAGCGCCCGCCGTGTGGTCCGAGGGGCTCAGTCCCTTTGCCCTGCAGTGTCAGTCCCCTCTGCACTGCGGCGCTGACTCTGACCTTGGAATGTCTGTACCTGGTCTGGTCATCTTGTTTGGCAAGTCCTGAGGCAGCTGTGCTCGGGGCGATGAGCTCCCTCTGCCTCTCCTCCTTTGTGCTCTAGCATCTGCCTTTCTGCCTGACTCCCCGGCGGCTCTTGTAGCACGGCTCCCGGGGCTCGCTCTTTGCCTCCTTGTCTCCTCAACCGTTTGTCTCAATTTACTGACATCAGAGTGTCTCCATTAGCAAATGGACCAAGTCAACAGACTCTGACTGTGCCGTGGGCCGAGGCCCTGGTCTGTAAAACTGAGGACGTTTTAATGGGTCTTCGTTGGTTAAAGCCTTTTTCAGTTTCATTTCCTGCTTCCCGGGGTCCTGTAGCAGTTACCTTTTCCAACACTACAAGCCTCACACACTTCGTTCCCCTTTCTGCTTCACGCAGTGTCATGCCTGCACTGGCAGGAGGTCTCTGGCTCGCCCCACCTCCCTTCCTGGTGCCAGGCCCCGAGCCCGGCCTGCCCGCAGCACTGCAGGTGCTGACTTTACAAGACGTGAGCCTCCCACTTCCCGCCCTGAGCATCGTGCTCATGCTCCCTGCGGCCTATCCCTGAGCCAGGCCTATGCAGTCAGGTTTAAACCACGGAAGCGCCAGATTCAAGGTGTCAGTCCACCCCCAGGTGTGACAGCAGACCGCATGGAGGATGCGAGAAGCACGTCCTCGGTGTTCAGCTCGTCACCAACAAACCAAAAGGAGAGTTGTTGTCAGCAGGTGGTTTCTCCGTCCCGAAGCCCAGCTCCCGCCCGGCTCCCGGTGCCGGGGGTCCGCCTCCCTGCCAGTGTGGTACATGGCGGCCGCGAGGCGGTGGGTGCTGTCCACGGGGAACAGACCGAGTGCGGGGGCCCCCCCCCCCTCAGGCGCCCACGGTTCGGGGAGGCCCGCAGGGGCCCAGGGACTGGCTGTGGCCATGCTCCTGCCCCCCAGCTCCGTCCTCGCAGCTCCCTGTTTGCTGGCACTGGGCACCTCACCCTCGTCCCCTGGCGCCCACACTAGCCGCCACGGTTCCCACCCCGGTGCTGCCAGCTGGCCTCGGAGGCAAGAGCGGCCTGGGAGACACGCTCTCCCCGGACACGGCTCAGTGCGGGCCGTGGAGCCGGGAGGTCGGAGCACTTGGCCCCTGGCCTCTCCCCTGAGCCAGGCGCTCGAAGGCGGAGCTGGAGTCCGCAGGCAGCCTGGTCACCGCGGTGGGACAGTGAACCCACAAAGCGGGGGGGGGGGGGGGGGGGCGGGGCGGGGCACCACCCCAGAGTCAGTGGAAGAAAAACTCACGGCGGGAGGACAGAACCGTGTCCACTCATGGCGGGAGGGCAGGACCACGAGCATCTCTGAAAGCCAGACAAGTGTTTAATGTCCTGCAGCATCGGAACGACAGCGCACACCCAGCCCCGCCCCCGTAGAAAACTTAGGGTGCCGAGGCAGGAAATGGGGCCCTGAGAACAGCAGAGGGGACACCTGGGTAGACAGCCAATCGGAGGCTTCTGTGCTGAGGACCAGCGAGGGGATGGTGGACACTCCAGCATCTCCCTATCACAGCGGCCCTCACCAGCCACCTCAGCACCAGCCCATCCCACCAGCGAGGCCTGCGGTCCCAGCCCAGCGCGGGCAGTGGGCCTCCCAGCACACCCTGCCCCGTGGACGGACGCCCCGGGCAGAGGGCGCGGGCGCTGCAGGAAGCCTGCCCTTGCAATGCCTTCTCCTCCCGTTTGGGGGCAGCACTGTGACCCCAGGGTGGGAACGGGGAGGAAAACATCCCATTCAGGAAGGAGCCCCCCTCCCTGCACACCCCAGCTGGGGACCAAACCTGCAGTCCAGGTACAGCCCTGACTGGGAACGGAACTGGTGACTTCCGTGCATGGGACGGGGCTCAGGCGAGCCACACTGGCCAGGCCCCTCAGTCCTGTTTGGAGGCCGTTTGTGATGTTACCCCACGGGCCTGCATGAACCCCCACCTCGCTCCCCTGGACTAGAAGCCCCAAGAGAAGGCTTTTTAGGGGGAGAGGAAGCTGACGTGAGGCCTGGACATCGCGGCCTCCTCCAGGGAGGGCGCGCCAGGCCTGACGGCCCTCCCTCGGGTGGAGGCAGGGACGGGCAGGGCCCTGGCTGGCGGTGAGGGGGAGAAGGCACAGGAGCCAAGGTGTCCCCCTGGAGCCCTGCTCTCCGGCTGAAACCTCGGCCACCCTGTGCCCATGTGCTGCCCTTTCCCGCGGGCACCGGGGCCGCAGTGAGGAGAGCCCGGCCGGAGGACCCTGCACGCTCCGGCGGCAGCAGCCCCGCGCTGGCCAGGAGCCGGGGAAACCGCCAGGGCCAGGGCCTTGGCCAGAGGCCACCAGAGCGGGTCCTGAGAGGGAAGGCACGTGAGTTACGATGTGAGGGAACCGCGGTGAGCAACCTGCCGGAGGGGCTGGTGCTGCCCGGCCACAGCGAGGGCGCCGGCCAGGAGGCCGGAGGAGGGAGACGGGGAGGGGGCTGGATGGCGGACGGGGCAGCACCAGAAGCGACCAGCCGAGGGCTCCGGGCCGGGCTGCGATCCCGGCCTGCACGGCCAGCGCACAGTAAGGCGGCAGAGGCAGAGGCAGGGCGGCCACACCTGCCAGGGCTGGGACCAAGGCCACCCCCTCCCCACGGAGCAGCTCCTGGTTCTGTTGAAGAGCGGCCTGCCTGCGGGCCCAGCATGCGCCCCCCGCTGTCAGAAGAAGGCTCAGGCTGGGCACGTGCTCCGGCCGCCCCGCTCGCCCGTCCTCCCAGCACGGGCCACCTCACCCGGGGCTGCAGAGCCAGAGCACCGCTCGCTGCACCGCTGGACAGTTTCCATGATGAAATCTGTATGTAAACTTGTGTGAGGGGGAGGGAGAGAGGGGAAGAGACCCAGACCCTGGGCCGACCAGTCTGTCCACTCCCAGGCCTACCCCCTTCTTCCACTGTGCCAGGATGGCCACCCCAGCTCAGGAGGGCCAGGAGCTGTGCCCCTGCTGCCCATGATCCCGCTGGCACAGGGGACCAGGGCTCCCTGCCTCAGATACACACTGCGGAGTTGGGAGCAGAGTCGGAAGGAGGTGCCCTCCGCCAGCCCAGGGTTCCCGGGGCCATGCCCAGCCTCTGCTCACCCGGAAGATGCCCTGAGGCTGGGACCGGAAGGGAAGCCTCTGCAGAAAAGTCCTTTCCTGGCGGAGGACAGCTCTCCTCCCACCTCTGCTCCCAGGTCCCTCTAGGAAGCTCACCCAGGGCCCGGGCAGAGGGCGGGTCCCGGGAGGTTTCGGAGCCCCTGGAGCTGCCCTGGCGACAGGCAGATGGAGAGGGGCAGGGCAGCCCAGAGCTGACAGACAAGGAGGCAAGGAGTCAGGGCACAGGCGCGGGAGACGAACAGCCGTGCTCCCAGCCTGTCCGCGCTGGGTGTGCCGTGTGCACAGCTGAGCCCGAGCGAATGCCAGGCCGCGGCTCCCGCACACACCCGGCGAGCCGCCCGGCCGCCCTGCCAGGGGGCAGCCGGAGGAAGGGCCGTGCTGACAGCAGCCGCGCCTGAGCCCTGGGAGCTGGCAGGTAGTTTCCTATTGCTCTTCTCAGCGCTGCGAACACCCTCTGCGAACAGCACCGGGGCGGGTGGTGAGGGTGCCGGAGCAGGAACACGGCCAGCGGGCCTCAGGGATGATCCGTGTCCCAGTCCTGACCACGGGCTGGGGGTCTTCTGAGAAGCCGCCAGGTCTGCAGGCAGGAGCTGCTGGTCACCGGACACTGCCCGTCCTCGGCCAGCGCCTCGGGCCCCGATGAGCGTCCTTACAAGACAGCCGAACGCCCCGCGGGGCCGTCCTGAGAGCTCGCAGAGGCAGGCCAGGCGAGGAGCCCCGCGGGCTCGCCCGCCCCGCCGGGGTCACGGCTGCAGGCGCTCCAGGTACTGCGGCAGCGGGTTCTCCTTGACGTACTTCTGGATGTACCAGCACGTGAGGTGCGCCTTCAGGTCCTCCTCCACCACGAAGTCCAGGGCGGCCTGCAGGGCAGAGGGGGCGGTCAGGCCCGGGCTGCCAGGGCACAGCCCCCCGGCGCGGTCGGGAGACTGCCTGGAGCCGGCCATGGCGAGGAGCCGGACGGAGGACGGAGGCACGGCAGCCCACAGCCAGGCGCCCGTCCACAGCCACCCTCCCCCTGCAGGGCCCTCGGGCGCACCTGGCGCCTGCTTACCCTTCCCCCACTCTCTCTAAAAATCAGTGGAAAACACACCCTCAGGTGAGGTTCTAACAAGGAAATGGTTGCTGTTCAGATGCAAAGGAAGCAGCATCCGTGGCCTCCAGCCTGGGCCTGAGCGGTGTCCTCAGGCCCCCACACAGACAGGACGGAACCGGCTACGCCCACTTTGTGGAGGAAGAGGCCGGAGCCCAGGAAGGCGCCAGCACAGGGGCGCCCTGGCCTGGGCATCAGGCCCTGGCAGGCAGGGCGGGGGGAGCGTGGGCTCCATCCCCATTACCCTGGTCAGTAGCTCTCAGTTCATTTTACTTCTTTTTGTTATTCCTCACCAAGGATACTTTTTCTATTGCTTTTTAGAGAGAGTGGGAAGGAGGGAGGGAGGGAGGGGGAGAGACAGACATCAGTTGGTTGCCTCCCGTAAGCACCCCAACCAGGGACAGGAACAGAGCCTGCAACTAGGTGCGTGCCCTTGGCAGGAAATCGAACCCACGACCCTGAGTGGGTGGGCTACACTAACCACTGAGCACAATGGCCAGGGCTCTCGGTTTCTTCCTTGGTCACGGGGGGGGGGGGGCACAGAAGCTGGGGACGTGGAGGGGGGCGACTGGGAGCAGCCCTCAGGGACACGGGCTTCTCTGGTCCAGGCACAAGTCCCCGCAATCCAGGCTGCTCTCCGGGGAGAAGGGGTGGGGCAGGGAATGGGGCACCAGCCAGTTTACTTGAACATTCGTCACCCATTCATTCCAAGAGCGACGAGCACCTAGGACACTGGACGCGGGGGCCACAGCCATGAGCTCCTGATGCACAGCAGGGACAGGGCCTGGTCGCCCAGCTGAGCCTGGACCCTGACCACAGCCCCCAGCCCTGCTCCCAGGAGCAGAGCACCAGCAGACACGCTGCTCCCCATCCCCTCTCTGCGCTCACACCCCCTCCCCGCCGCCCCACCCAACAAACTGATGGACCCTCCCTTCCTCCAACTGATGGATGGACATAAACTCCACCTGCAGCCACCCATCAGCACCTGCCCAATCCCCTAAGCCGCATTCCTAAGTCCCTGGGTCCCTCAACGTAGGCCTTCCCTGAAACCACCGATCAGGAGTGCCGGTGCCTTAAGCCCGCCCCTCCCTTCCCGCCATGGACCCGGCCTCGCTCTCCGCTCTCTGGCGCTGCGGCAGGGGTGCCCTTCTCTCCACAGGCCTGAGTCCTGCCTCCGGTTCCGCCCTTCTGTCTCATCTTTCACAGACCCCCCCCCCCCGCTCCCCCACCGTCCGCACGCCCCGCCACGCACACCTCTCTCATCACCCCAGTGCCCCCCGCTGCCCCCTGCCCCACAGCCCCACACCTTCCACACCCCCCGCCCCTGCACCCCTCTCACCACCCCACAGCGCCCCCTGCCCCCGCACCCCTCTCACCACCCCACAGCGCCCCCTGCCCCTGCACCCCTCTCACCACCCCACAGCGCCCCCTGCACCACCCACAGCCCCCCCGCCGTCCAGCCACCCCTGCCCCACAGCCCCCCAAACTCCCTGCTGCCACCCACAGCGTCCCCCGGCTACCCCATAGTGCCCCCTGCCCCAGAGTCCCCACAGCCGCCCCCCCACCCCACAGCCACCGCCCTCCAAGTCACCCCTCCCCCTGCCCCCTGCCCCCCCTCCAGCCCCAGCTATAGGCTGGCAGCAGGAAGGACCCAGCTGCACGTAGGCGGGAAACAGGCCAAGGCTGGCAGAGGCCTGGTGTCCTCCACCTACCCTACCTTGGCGAGGTGCTTGGCGATGCCACGCCCACGGTAGGCATCGGGGACCTCGGTGTGCTGCAGGTCCACAGTCCGCTTGCCCACGTGCTCGTAGAGCAGGACGGCCCGATCATGGCACCCTGCGGGAGAGGGTAGACATGTGAGGCAGGGCAGCCGGAGTGGAGAGAAGGTCAAGGCCAGGCTGCTGGAGCCTCCATAGCCTCTCCGTGCCTCAGCTTCCGCATCCATAGAATGGGGCCATAATAAAACACCCTCACAGGATTGTTTGGAGACTGAAAGAGTCATCTCTGTAAAATGCTTAGGACAAACAGCATCCGCAACTCTCTAGGCCACCATGAGTCATCATTGTTATCCTCAGTCTCGGCATCCCAGGACGCCCAGAGTCCCCCAGCCCAGCCATCCGCGTCTCCATCTGCACTCCCTCCATCCATCCATCATCCAACCATATCCATCCAATCATCTAAACATCCACCAATATCCATCCATCCATCCATCCATCCATCCAACCACATCCATTCATCCACCATCCATCCATCATTCAACCATATCCATCCAATCATCCATCCATCCACCAATATCCATCCATCCACCACCACCCATCCATCCATCCATCCACCATCCATCATCCATCCATCTATCCAACCACATCAATCATCCATCCATCCAACTCCTCTCTGCCTGCCCATCTACTGACCTAGCCCCTCATCCACCCGTCTGTGAACACATCCATCCACCATGCCCGTTCAACAGCTGCTGAGCCCCAGGCACTGTTTCAGGTGCTAAGGACACAGCAGTAAGTAGGCCAGACAAGAGTCCTGTGCTGGTGGACGCATGGAGACAGAGCAGAGAGGTGGGCAGGTGGGCGGAGAGGCGGCAGGAGAAAGAGGAGCAGCTTCTGGGGAGCAGTGTCCCAGGCTGGGAGCAGCCAGTACAAAGGCCCTGAGGCAGGAGTGGGCAAGCGAGGGGGGTGGGGGAAGAGATAAGGGGAGGGCAAGGGTGATGGGGAAGGAGTCCAGCAGAGCCTCATAACCACCATGAGTTGGGAGCTATCAAGGGTCCTTGGCAGAGGAGGGACAGGAGGTGACCGTGTCTCGTGATCCTCCCCTGGCTGCTATGGGAAGAGGGCCGTGGCGGCCACACTAGTCCAGGTGAGCAATGCGGGTGCTGATGGCTCGAGGGGGGAGGACAGGTGGCTGAGGACAGCCTGTCATTCAGGGAGCTGTGACGTAGGAAGGAACTAAGCTGGATCGGGGAGAGAGGGCCATGTCGCCGGAGGGCAGGGAAGGACAAGAAGAGGGCACAGCCAGTGTGAGGGCCCTGAGGCCAGAACACACAATTTTCTGTCCCTTAAAGAAAATAAGTTGAGACTGTGGCGGAGACCTCTCCCGGAGCTACGGCTCAGAGGGAAAACTATGCCATCTTACAAAGAAAAGAGGACCTTTCAATCCACAGGCTTGATTGACCTTTCAATCAAACCTGTGGATTGAAAGGTCCCAGGTTCAATTCTAGTCAAGGGCATGTACCTTGGTTATGGGCACATCCCCACTAGGGGGTGTGCAAGAGGCAGCTGATCGATGATTCTCTCTCATCGATGTTTCTAACTCTCTATCATTCTCTCTTCCTCTCTGTAAAAACTCAATAGAATATATTTATTTATTTATTTATTTATTTATTTATTTATTTAAAATATATTTTTATTGATTTTGTACAGAGAGGAAGTGAGAGAGATAGAGAGTTAGAAACATCGATGAGAGAGAGTCATCGATCAGCTGCCTCTTGCACACCCCCTACTGGGGATATGCCCGCAACCAAGGTACATGCCCTTGACCGGAATAGAACCCGGGTCCCTTCAGTCCCGAAGCCGACGCTCTTTCCATTGAGCCAAACCGGTCTCGGCTAGAATATATATTTTTAAAAATGGCGTCAAATAAATATCTATCAATAATAACTTTAAATGAAAATGGATTAAATGCTCCAATCAAAAGACATAGGGTAATAGATTGGATAAGAAAACAAGACCCATACATCTGTTGTCTACAAGAAACCCATTTTAGAAAAAAAGACACACACAGACTGAACGTGAAGGGATGGAAAAAGGTTTTCCAGGCAAATGGAAATGAAAAAAAAAAAGCTGGGGTAGCAATACTTATAGCTGACAAATTAGATCTCAAAGTGAAGGACATAAAAGATAATGAAGGCCACTTCATAATACTCAAGGGAGCAATCTATTATAACAAGAAAAAATAACCCTGGTAAACATATATGCACCCAATACAGGAGCACCCAAATACATAAAAAAAAAAAAAAAACTGCTGGAGGACATTAAAGGAGAGATTAATAGCAATACAATCATAGTAGGAGATTTTAATACCCCACTGTCACCCTTCGACAAATCATCTAAACAAAAAATCAGCAAAGAAACATCAATCCTAAATGACGCACTAGATCAGATGGAATTAACTGACATCTTCAGAACATTTCACCCCAAAGCCACAGAATATACATTCTTCTCAAGTGCACATGGGTCATTTTCAAAAATAGACCACATGTTGGGACATAGGCAAAGTCTCTTCAAATTCAAGAAGATAGAAATCATATTAAGCATCTTCTCAGATCATAGTGGCATAAAATTGGAAATAATTACAATAAAAATAATCCAAGGAAATCAAACACATGGAAACTAAATAGCATGCTATTAAACAAGAACTGGGTTACCAGAAAAAAATCAAGGAAGAAATTAAAAACATCATGGCAACAAATGACAATGAAAACACAACAATCCAAAATATATGGGACACAGCAAAAGCAGTTTTGAGAGGGAAGTTCATATCCCTACAAGCCTATTGCAAAAAACAAGAAAAAATGGTAACAAATTATCTAACTCTACAACTCAGAATTAGAAAAAGAGCAACAAGAAAAGCCCAGTGTAAGCAGAAGGAAGGAAATAACAAAAATCAGAGCGGAGATAAATGACATAGAAACCAAAGAAACAATACATAAGATCAACAAAACCAAGAGCTGGTTCTTTGAAAGGATAAACAAGATTGATAAACCTCTAGCCAGACTAACCAAGAAACAAAGAGAGAGGACCCAAAACAACAAATTCAGAAATGAAAGAGGTGAAATAACAACATACCCAGGTGAAATACAAAAGATTTCAAAATACTACTCATAAAAGGAAGATAAATGACCCAATTAAAAAAATGGGCAATGGACCTAAATAGAATATTTTCAAAAGAAGACAGAAGGAAGGCCAAGAGGCACATGAAAACATGCTCAAAGTCACTAATTATCAGAGAGATGCAAATCAAAACAACAATGCGGTACCATCTCACACCTGTAGGAATGGCCAACATCAACAAATCAACAAATGACAAGTGTTGGCGAGGTTGCGGAGAAAAAGGAACCCTCGTGCACTGCTGGTGGGAATGCAGACTGGTGCAACCACTGTGGAGAACAGTGTGGAGTTTCCTCAAAAAACTGAGAATGGAACTCCCATTTGACCCAGTAATACCACTCCTAGGAATATATCCTATCAGAAAGGAAATATGCACCCCTATGTTCATAGCAGCACAATTTAGGATTTGGAAACAGCCTAGGTGCCCGTCAGCAGATGATTGAATAAAAAAACTAAGGTATATTTACACAATGGAATACTATGCTGCCATAAAAAAATAAGGAATTCCTATCATTTGCAGCAACCTGGATGGAATTGGAGAACATCATGCTGAGTGAAATAAGCTAGTCAATGAAAGAGAAACACCACATGACCTCACTCATTTATGGATAATAAAGACCATTATAAACTGATGAACCAAAAGATAGATATAGAGACAGTAAAGCAACAAACAGACTGTCAAATTACAGCGGGGAGGGTAGGGAGATATGGGGGAGATAAGAGATCAACTGAAGGACTTGTATGCATGCAAAACCAATGGGCAAAAAACTTGGGGGGTGAGGGGAGGGCATGTATGGGCATAGGGGGCAATGGAAAGACATGTATACATATAATACCTTAATAAATAAAAAAAATAAGTTGATGCCAAGTGTGATCATTAAAAGCAAATTGCATTTCACGTGGTTCTCGCTGTAAAGCTGTGTCATTTGCTCCATGCTGCCTGGGCCGGGCTGTGATGTCACCAGCAGAAGTGAACTGGATGCAGGAACACAGCCCCGCCTGGCAGGAGCTTTCTGGTCTCCCCGACACTCAGGTGACACTGCGGGCCACCTCCCCGTTTGCAGGGTCCACGTCCCACCGTGAGGCAGGTGAAGGGGAACCCAGGCCTCAAACCGTCTCTTTGCTCCTGGACACGCCCTCTGCCTCCTGCCTCCAGAACTTTCCCAGGGCAGTTGCTTCTGCCAGGAATACCCTTCCCCATAATGGTCCAGCCGAGGGTGGCCCTAGGGCCCCTGTACCCCCTCCTCAGGCCTGACGGCTGCTCAGCTCTGGTGGGCGGGCCCAGCTCTGGCCCCACTGCCTCCTGCCCTGGCCGTGCAGCAAGACTCTGGTCTCGGCTCCCAAACCTGCTGGGTAATTCAACGTGTTCAACGTGCACGGGGCAGGACCGCGGGGCCCAGCGGAGGAGCTGCCTGGCCACCCGGCCATCCAATTCGCCCACCTCATTAGGGCCTCCGTGCAGGCAGGTTCGGGCACTGGGTGTGTAACAGGAAAGAAACCGCCAGACGCTCCCTCCTGGAGGGAGACAGAGGGGAAGTGGCCTCGTTATAAACAAGACCGCCTCTGCCGGGACAAGCTAGACGAATGCAGCAGAGGAGGGGAGGGCACAGGCAGGCCTCTCTAAGCAAAGACCTGAGGGGCAAGGAGCACGAAAGGACACATGGGGACGAGCAGTCCGGGTGCGAGGACAGCCGTAAGAGGCCCAGGCACATGGGCAAGCAGCAGTGGAGCCAGCGGCGGCTGGAATGAGGGGGGGGGGGGGGGGGCGTGGTGGAAGGCATACTGAGGTTCTGGGGCCGAGTCACGTGGGGCCTTGCAAGCCCCTGACAAGATCACGGCTTCTCACACGGCCATTTCCAGAGGGAGGTGGTGGGTCCTCAGCCCTTGGAAGCTTGCCTGTCTTCTGTTCCTTCAACAATATCCTGGGAGTGGCCACCGGCC